TGTGATGTGATGGTATGAGGTTCTATATGATGTGAATTATGATGATTAGAAGTATTAGAATGGTTAAATAATTATTTGGTAATTATTTGGATTATTATTGAAAATATAATAATAGGAATAATTACTTAAAGGGTTATTTTAATTAGAGTGGTGTGTTGATAATTAGTAGGAAGAGCGAGGATGTGATGGTAAATAGAGGTTGACTAAGTGAGGGAAATTGAGGAAGATATTAGGGGTCTTTAGAGTGAAAGTTGGAGGCTTTAGAGAGAAAAGCTAGGGCATGGAGGCTTTAGAGAGAATCATCGTAAGAGGCACGAAGAACATAATCAATCACTCAAAAAAATAAGGTAAGGGGTGTTTATCTGATTATTATATTTGATTTAAGTGATAGGTAGAGGTAGGATTTGCCTTAGGTTTCATAGGTGATGATTTAATGTTGTTTGATGGAGAATTGATAGATTAGTGATGAATATTGACCCGTAAATGTTGTCTAATTGATGTAGTATATTAAGTTGTTGATAGATGACAGATCCATATGATTAGATAATTTTTTAGGACCTATAAGGTAGTGAAATTGCAGAAAAATCGCAGAAAAATTCAACACAAAACAGCATGTGTGGACTAAATGAGTCATGTGCCGACTCATGCAGGTTCAAGACTCAGTATGCGTCGACTCATTGGGTCGACCTGAGCATACCCAGGGAAAAAAGAATACCTATGCGTTGACTCAAAGGGGGCTTGCGTCGACTCAAACAATCCAATTTTTTTATAGATTTTTCTAAAGGCTGTAACTTGAGTTTCAGACTGCGTTTGAGGTGTCGTTCGAAGTGTTGGTTAGCTAACACGATGAACTAAATTTATAAGGATTAAAATGAATAATAATAATAAGGATAATTATAGTACCCAAGTTAGGATAGAATTAGTTTCCCCGTGTTGAATCTCTATGATATTTTGTGGTAATGAAGTATGATGATGATATGTTGTTAATATGATGATTTTGTTTTATATGATAATATGATGATGATGCTTTGCTTATATGAGTACATATGACGAGGTTTATATGATGAGGTTGGTGAATACATGAATGATGATGCGTATGACTATTTGTGGTCGTTTATATTGTTGTTGTGCATCATGCATTCATTGGACAACTTTGGTCCGTTTTTTTTTATTTAGGACATTGGTCGAGTGATTTTGTTTGAATCCCATTGTGTGGATTTGGGATGTCTATGATTTTCTCTGGTTCTAAGCGGGAATCGATCCTATTATTGGGGTCTTTAGATGGTGATGGCCTAGTGTCCATCAAATGAATTGGCACCAAAAGCATGAGTCTATGTCCTTGCACTACATCTTATGTGGCATTGCATGGTTCTTAAATTGATGATGTTGTATTGTGTTGTTGAATTTGTATGATTGTTAAGGTACTTAGAATATAACAATTCTGAGTTTATATTGTGATACTTTTGGTTTATTCTGCTATGTTTATTACTTATATCTTATATAATAATTGTGATGAACTCACCCTTTCTGCTTTAATGTTACCTCTACGTGTGTGACGTGCAGGTAATCAGGAGTTGTCCCTAAAGGCTTAGAAGAATATATTTGAGCGTGTGTTTTATTTTTGTTGAGTCTAGAAGGTATTACTCCGATATGTAACACCGGGGACGGGAACACTTTGTTTTGAAAAGTATTTTGTTCTTGTTTTCTTATGACATTTAAATTGTTTCCATGGAGTTTAAATTATGTTGAATTATGAACCATGAATCATGGGGCACTATGAAGTGTATTGATGGACTTGTTTGAACTATGATTTTGCTGCAACTATGTTAAACCTTGATAACGAATATGTCATGAATAATTTTTAAAACCCGTGTTACGGAGTAAGACTAGCACGTATGATTATTTCACGAATAAAATGTGACGCCCTTTTGTTGTATTACTTTGATATTATTTTAAATAATTATGAACATTTTGTGGGGTTTATAAGGGTGTTACATTAGTGGTATCAGAGCAGCTCATTCTATCCGGCCAGGTTGTCTAATATTGTTTGTTCCTTAGTGTGCGACGTGTGTGTGTGAAACATTGTCGATACTTGCTTGTTTTACTAACTATTTATCTGCAAGGATTGGTTTGAAATAAGTGGGGGAGAAGCTTTTTCTTCTCCGAGATATTTCAGGTATGGGAGTTGGTGCAATACACTGGTGAGTTACAAAGAGCGCAAGTATTGTTAGAGCTATGTTTTTTCTGGAAACTGAAGAGAGTACAAATTTGTGATTTTGTCTGAATGTCAATTTGGGATGTCTTCAGATAGAACGATCAAGTATTTTTGTTGTTTGCTTCTCGGAGAATAGATAGAAATGTGATGGCTAGTGATATGCCAATGTTGTGTGATTCCTGATATTTTTACTAAAGATATTTGTGAGTTGCCTCCAGAGTGTGGATTTGAGTTCAGTGACAGTATAAAACTGGTGTTTGTATCTGCTAAGCAAGTAGGATAACCCTTAAGATATGAGGCTTAAAGGTTTGCATTTTTGTGACAACAATTGAATGAGGCCATGTGTGGATTACTGACCATTCAGTAAGGTAATGATTTAGATTAAATATCTACTTGATAAGGAATGACGATTTGATGGGGAAACTGTCAGGAGAGTATGTCTATAGTATAATCAAATTAAGGAAGGTTACCTTCAGATTTGGATGAAGGGTGAGGATAGTTATGGGACAAATTTTAGAACTTGTGTAGGCATTCCAAATATTTGGGTTAGTTTGTTGCAGTGTTTATTGAGGACATTATGAGTTAATCTAAGTAAGAATAAGGGAATGTCTAACTTTGTGATTTGGATTACAATGTTAGAAAGGAAGAGACTTTATGCTAAGTTGTGAAGGTGTAGATCATGTTTTGAGGAGATATTAATTGGACCATGGTGCTTTAGGTAACTTTGAGCATAAGTTCTAAAGAAACACTATTCCAGTTTAGTAATGATGGTTTATGCGCCATCATGATTGTCGGCTACCAATTGACAAATTGAGGAACTGATCACCCTTAATCTCTTGTTGATAGTAGATGGAATCATTTTGGATGGGATATACTTGTCTTATTAGCTTGATGGTGTGTAAAGTGGTTAATGTTCTATCGAAAGTATATTCATTCATCATTTCAAGTATGGGATGTTGCATGTGAAAAAAGTTTTGTAGAACTAAAGAAAAGATTGACGACAGCTCCAGTATTGGTTTTTCCTAATCCGATTGAGTCATTTGTAGTGTATTATGAATGTGTCTAAGATGGGACTTAGTGGTGTGCGAATTCTGAATGGACAAGTTGTTGCTTGTGTTTCTAGACAACTCAAAGTTCATGAGAGGAACTATCATACACATGACTTAGAATTGGCAGTTGTGGTGATCGTGCTAAAAATTTAGAGACATTACCTTTTTGGCTCTAAATTTGAACTGTTCAGTGATCATAATAGTTTAAAATATTCATTTGATCAGAAGGAGATAAACATGAGGCAGAGAAGATGTCTCGAATTGTTGAAGGATTATGATTTTAATTTTAGTTACCATCCTGGTAAAGCAAATGTAGTAGCTAATCCTTTGAGTAGGAAATCTTTGCATATGTCAATGCTTATGGTTCAAGAGTTAGAGATGATCGAACAGTTTATAGATATGAGCTTGGTATGAAAAGAGACATCCAATAGTTTGAAGTTGGGAATGTCGAAACTGACTAGTGGGATTCTTGAAGAGATCCAAGAAGGTCAGAAGTCTGATTTGAGTTTGGTGGATTGACTAACATTGATTAACCAAGGCAATAGAGGTGAATTCCAAGTGGATGAGAATGGTGTGATGAGACTTGGTTAATAGGTATGTGTCCCTGATATTCCAGAACTTAAGAAGAGCATTCTTGAGAAAGGGTGTCGAAGTTATTTTAGTATTCATCTAGGTGCTACGAAAATGTATCAGGATTTAAAGAAAATGTTTTTATGGCCAAGTATGAAGAAAGTAATTCCTAAGTTTGTGAATGCTTGCTTGACTTGCCAAAAGTCGAAGATTGAACATCAGAAGCCTACAGGTCTTATACAACCTTTGAGTATTCCAAAGTGGAAATGGAATAGTGTTTCTATGGATTTCGTGTCGGGGTTACCGAAGAATGTTAGAGGTGATGATACAATTTGGGCAATAGTGGATAGGTTGACTAAGTCGGCTCATTTGTGACCGATGAAGATCAATCATCCTATAAAAAAGCTGGCTAAGATGTATTTTCATGAGACTGTAAATTTTCATGGGATACCTTCGAGTATCATGTCAGATAGAGACCTGAGGTTTACATATAAATTCTGGACAGGTTTGCAAAATGATTTCGGTACCAAGTTGAAGTTGAGTTTCGCATATCATCTACAGACTTATGGTCAAACAGAGAGGACTATCCAGTCTTTGAAGGATTTGTTGAGGGCTTGTGTGCTAGAACAAGGAGTATCTTGGGATAGTCACTTTCCGTTGATTGAATTTACATACAATAATAGTTTCCATTCAAGTATTGGAATGGCACCATACGAAGCATTGTATGGTAGGAGGTGTAGAACTGCATTGTGT